CTCTCTCTCTCTCTCTCTCTCTCTCTCTCTCTCTCTCTCTCTCTCTCTCTCTCTCTCTCTTTCTCTCTCTCTGTCTCTGCTTCTCCTCTTTCTCCTTTCTCTCACTTGTTCGTTAAGGGATGTCCAACTGCGAAACGGGAGGCGAAACTCGTTGAAAGCGGACACCCTGTAAGTGCCGTCACGCAGAATTTGCCGGACGAGCTGATCAGGTGCACTCGGAGAGAGGGGAGAGGGGAGGGCGTAGGAATCATCGGTTTTCGCGTTCGTAGATTTTGCATACATAGAGTGACAGCTGCGATAAAACGCGGTCAACTTTCCTTCGCATCATCGCGAAATTAAGAGTCGCGCAATCTCTCGGGAGTCGCGAAGTCTAGTACGGATATTCGCGCGAAACGGTAGGATTGATCGCGAAGAAAGAAAGAAAGAGGAGAGAAGAAGTGTACACGCGCGGCGGCGTCGATGTCGTCGCGGGCGCCGCGTGTTTGAATACTCGGGAGAACGGCTGCCTCGGGCATTGTTTGCTCCGATCTTTACTTAATTCCTCCGTCGCGCTTATCGTCTCGCCGCCTACCGACGCGCAAAACTCGTCATTTTTCTCGCACGAGCGCGCGGCCTCGCCGACGGCGATACGCGGCGCGATATCGCCGCGTTGCGTTGCGTCACACCGCGGCGTGCCGTCAGCCATTTCCGTCGTATATCTTCATTGGTGCGGAACTCGAAGCGTCGAGTCGATTGTCGGCCTGCCTCGACAAAGCGCACTTGTCACGACACAAAGCCCGCGCCGCCCGCGCGCGCCTGTACCTGTCGCGCGGCGCCTTTATCGAAACGCTCGCCGATAAAGATGCGGCTGACTGCGCGAGCTCTACCCCTCCCGCTCGTCCCTACCTCGCAACGAGAATTTAATTAGAAGCATTTTACCCACTCATCGTGACGTCCCGCAGCGTCGGGGTTCCTAATTAGTTTTCGTCGAAATTAGCATACGCAAGACACAGTATGATGGATCTTGCAAACTGTTGAATGGAATCGAGTAGTGTTGCACATTTAAATTTTTTCATCCCTCGTGGTTCTATGTTAACTGCCCGTGTGCATTTCCAACAAATCCGATCACTCGCCCTTAACTTTCATAAAGGAGCCCGATAAATTTAAAAACGGCGCAAATTTGTTTGCAAATTTTGATGTTATCGTGTTATTATCTCATAGCTAAGTTTTCTACAGGTCATCTGGCAATTACTAATAACCTGTTGTGTGCAGGTAGAACTCATTAAATTGAACACAAGATTCTTCTATTATTTCGCAAACAACCACATGGATTTTTAATTATTAATCAAAAGAACATGTTTAAAAATATCGATTTTCAAGAAAATTATGTAGTTCAAATAGTTCCCTAACTCTGACGGACTCAGACTCTACTGTATACCCCCAAGAAAATGATTGCACCTGGGGGTTTAAGTCTACCTCGATGCTATGTTACGTTTCAGTCGATTCTATGAACCATACATATATGTTGTCGCATCAATTAAATACTGAAAAATACTGAAACTTGAAATAAACGTGATTTACACAATGCTTTCGCCAAGTAGGAGAACTTTTAGGGATCATTCGAGGAGAAAAGTCGCAAACAATTCTGACAGCCTCATCAGACTTTGATATTCAATTGGAAAATATCATTGAACCGGCACGTTCGTCTCCCAGGGGGTGCTGGAGCTCGCGCAGCTCGACGATGGAATGGGAAGGGTGGCGTGCCAGAAATTTCGGGCGACGAGACGTCGGGCGAAATCACGGCGGCACGCCGTGATATACGAAGCGCTGCGAGGGTGGGCAGGAAGGAGGAAGGAAGGAGCGAGAGTTCCCGCGGGGCAAACTTTACGGCCTTATAAAACCGGCGGTCGAGGCGACGTGTCCCGCAGTTCCATTCCCCTCTCTTCTCCCTGCCGACCCTCCCCCAACCCGGAATCTCATTCTCCGAAAGCACCGCGCACATTCTTGGTCCGCGCGAGCCTGGCGCCTTCGCGTGTACGCCGTGTTCGCGAACTCTCCGCGAGCTGAAAGCACCAGTGGGCGATAAACCGGAATTAGCTGGGTCGCGAAGGGCGAACAGGATGGCTCGAGATAAGTTTCGAGCGGGCGGTAAGATCGATCGTTATAAATTAACAACTTGCCGATCTGCTTTTAATTAAGTAACGATGCCCTGTTCTCTCCCCCGTCCCCTTCGCTCCCGCCGACACTTCGCGCGCGCCGTGTGCGATCAGAAATACGGATCCTGTTTCCCTTAATTGCTGACGCACGTGGTTAACCTACATTCGCGAATCCACCGACCGATATGCTCGATCTCTCAGTGTCGAAACCACCGCCTTGCCCCCTTCCCCCCACCGTCACTCTTCTCACGCGAGAGCAACCTCTTCTCCGGCGTGCGGCGGATTCGGTTGCTTTATTTTGAAGCAGCGACCCATAAAAGCTCTCTCGCGCGTCGGGTGCGGCGAACGAGGCGAGCGAGCGAGCGAACGGGCGGCGTTTCTCGGCTCGCCGGCAAAATTATTGTCGGCGGCACGCGGCGATAGTTCCGCCGGCGAACGTCGCGCGCTCGATACGTCACCGCCGCCGCCGCCGCCGTTGCCGGCGCGCCGTGTGAAATATAGCGTGCGATACGTTCCGCGATTAGAGATCAATCGCGCCGCTTCCGCCTGAATCACCGCGGCCAACGCCGCTGCCGCCGTCGCTTCCACTCGCAATTCGGCTCCCTTCCGCTATCGCGAGCTGTCGCAGAGACCGCGCTCTGCAATCTCCTCCCCGCACCTCTGTCACTCGACCTTTTTTCTCTTTGTTTTACTCACGAGTAAAGTGTAAGGGAAGTTTCACACCTTGGTAGAAAAGCAGAAAGAACGCCAATCAGAACTCGCGCCGTGTGGTCAGGTGTAGTTGACAGTTTCTGCTCTTCTACCAGCGCGAGCTCTGATCGGCGTCTGCCTTTGTGTTTTCTGCTTTCCTACCAAGGTGTGAAATTGACCTAACAGCCGACGAGGCCGACGTGGTCTCGTGAATTTTGGCAGTTCCTCGACAGTCCCTTCAAATTTGAGACTTGCGCGCGACTGTTTGATTCCTCGCAGAAAACGCTCGCAGCAAACCGCGTGGAATTTCCACCCCCAATCCAACCCTCCCCGCGTGATGTTGCCACGTGAAAAAATGTCGGGAGTTCGCAGCGCAACGAAATCGCCGATCGCTAATCAGCAGGAGCTACTCTAAGCGCGCGCGCGTCAATTAGCGCGCACTGGCGCAATTCGCGCGATAATAATCGGCCCTGAAAAGTTGGCGGCGTCGTCGGAACGCCTGGCCGACGCGAGCCGAGTTAAAGAGCGTTTTATCGCGGCGGCTGTTATCGCCGACACGTACGAAATAAATTACGGGCCGTGCCGGGACGGTGCTCCTGGGTCGGCCGGGGGAGTATCGGGTAACAAATAATCACGGCGTGCGCGCGTACGAGAGAGAGAAAGAGCGCCCGCCCGTTACTCGATCGAACCGCGGATTAAAGAGCAAACGCGAAATATTCAATTACGCCTGGCGGTCGATAATGACTGACGCGCGATACCGCTCGGCCGAGAACAGAATTTCCAGCGCGTGATATATTTTTCCGTTTCATCGTTGCGCGCACCGCAGCGAAACCGGCGCGCCCGGTATCTATCCGTGAGAATAACTCTCGTGGTGTTAATCCGCGCGCACTCGCTACGTTTGCGATAATTATTTAAATTTGCAGAATTATGTGTGAATAACGGCGGAGAGCTGTCGCACCTTACGACAGTCCTTACTTTTCTCACACCCTTTTCAAACGACGCGAATTTCTAAGTGTGGACGCGAATTTCGCGTCCACACTAAGATACTTGACAATTTATTCGTGGGATATAAAGTCTATTTCTGTAAAATGGACTTTGCACTCGAAAAGTAAATTTTCAAGTATTTTTTTCTCACTTAGTGCATTTGTTTTCAGTTTGCGCGTTTATTTGTCAGTTATGGTGGAAATAATATCTTCAAATGTCGAATCTATACGTGGATCGCAAAGTTAGACAATGAGAAAACACTTGAAAATTTATTTTTGTGAGATGTAAAGTCTATTTCTGTGAGATAAAGTTTGTTTCCGTGAGTAAACTCCCATAAATAAATTTTCAAATATTCTTTTTTCTAGTGTAATGCATTTTTGAGTATTCTTGTGGAACTCTCTAAATTTCTACCTTCTTGAATCTCGACGAAACATGAAAGTTCACTCGAAGCGAGAGTGAATGTTTAACTCGAGCTTAGAAGTGAATGTTTTAATCGATTAGAATTAATTTAAACCTGTGACGGTGTATACGGTTTACACTTCTTCAACGGCGCGAGCGAAAATATTCACCATTTCGACCATTGGGAATGGAACAATTCGCGAGTCACTTGTATTCGAGTGACTCGATTGTCACTCTGCCTTTCGAGTGGAATTTCGCTAGAATAAATGTCGAGATATAATATACTGTCGATCAGATAGCGTCGGGTAACAATTGCGAGATACTTAATGACGACATCCGCGAAAGTATAATTCCCACACGACAGAGGTTTGTTTTGCATCGCCGGGTCACGTTGTCGTGTTGCAGGTGAGCCGTTACCTCGATGCGCCGGACATCATCACGGGCAACACCACGCCGATGGACCCGGCGGTGAAGCAGAGGCTGCTGCGCCACCTGGACAGCTGCGTATCGGAGTTGGACCTGGATCTGGGTTCGCGGCCCGACAGCGGCCTGGGCAGTAGCCCAGGTAGCGTGACGGATCGTGTGGCGGGCGCGACGAGCCCTGGTCCGCTGGACCACCACGTCGGTGGCTCAGTGGGCCCGCACTGCAGCACCGCGACGGCTCTCACGCCCGCCGGCTTGATTAAGTCCGAGATCCCGGAGATGGAGGCTGCGCGACCAGACAGCAGCACCACTGCCGGCGACGAGAACAACAACAGCAGTCGACCGACCTCGGCCTTCAGTCAGGTGAACCCAGCGGCGTTGGACCCGCACCACCCGCACCATCCGGCGGGCTTGCCGGTCGACCATCAGGCCTCCACGTCGCAGCAGAATCCCAATATGCTGTCGGTGGTGCAAGTGATACCATCCCGACTGCCGGACGGTCAGGTGGTGTTCTTGTTACCGAGCCACTACGTGCAACTGGCGGCCGCGGCCGCGGCGAACGGCATCAGCATCGGGCCGAATCCACCCACGGCTATTTGGGCCGCGACCAACATGTCGCTACTCAAGGCCACCGACAAGTTGGCGAAACGACCGCACGAGGACCTCGCGCAGGAGTGGGGTCAAGATCCAACCGGTCTGAAGCCGAGCAAGAGCCCGAGGATGGAGCAGCCGGAGCAACCGTTGGACTTCACCACCACCTCGAAGAAGATGAAGACCGCCTCGAGAAGCACGACGCATCCAGCCGTCGCCGACCAGCAACAACAGCAGCAACATCACCATCATCTTCGGCAGCAACAGCAGCAGCAACAAACGTCGGCTCGTCTGCCGACCGAGGGCGGCGGAGCCATCGTGCATGAAGACCGGCCGTCTAGTCACGCAGACAGCGAGGTCGCCGTCGACATGCCATCTCCGTCACCTGTTGGCCAGCAGCCCGTCAAGGACGAGGAGGGCATGTGGAGGCCGTGGTAAACGGGTAACGAGAGGAGTCTTGCACCCGAGGGGGCAGACAAGAGGCCCTTCTTGCGTCTTTGTAAATAGGATTTTTCGTGGGGCGCGCGCGAAATCGGAAGTCGAAGCGCGCGGCTGCGATCGTCGTCTACCGAGCGAGCGAGATAGAGAAAGGGAAGCAGAGGGAGGAAAGCCAGTCTTCGAGCTCCGCTGAGAGCGAGGTCACACTTGTCGCATAGCCGAGGAAAACGCGGGAAACCTTCAGTCCCAGTCGGTGAGCTTGACGTGACTTGGCATTATTCCGAGAAATCATTTTACGCGTGCACAAGATTCTCCTTTGTCGTAGAAAAACGGTAGATGCGATAACAGTACCGTCTAATTCCTGGTAATGTATACATGGGTGACCTTAGGTCATCTTGGAAAATGAAGTACCGCCGAACTTGGACCGCTATTCTGTACATACTTTCTGATAACTATTGGTATGCTAACGATATCTGAATTACTTTTATTCAATTTTTCATAAAAATTGCTATTTTCATATCTTTTTTTGTTATCTGAATTTGCTTGCTATCTAAATTTGTTATCTAAATTTGTTATCTAAATTTGTTATCTAAAATTATTCATAATTATGACAGACGCTAACGACAGATATCGTCAGTGTGTCGTACCAATACACTGAGAAAAAAATTGTTGGTCTAACGATAGTTATTTTTGTTTCCAACCATATTTTTTTATTGTTCCAACACGAGAAAATGATGGTAGTAGCATGCGTATAATGTCACTAACAAAGTAGAATGATCTCCTTGACTGTAATTTATAGTAATTATTTTTCTGTCTTTCTAGTTATAAAATACCAGATGTTTTTTTATCAGTTTACGGTTATCATGTACAGAGAGTGGCGGCCCTGGAATTTTTTTAGCGCGGAGTGCGCGATATTATTTTTTGTATTTTGGAATAATTGGAGCAGTACGCTCCATCGCGCAGAGGTAAGAGGAGACGATTACACTTGTTTGTGTTACGCGACGTGAACGTGCACGCAATTCACCATTCACCAACGCGCCGTTCGTCGCGGACACTTTCATGGCAATTCGAGAACGCATCGGCATATCGGATGCGCACGGCCGAACAGTTCTTTAATCAGCTCAATAAAATTCCGAATAGGGAACACAGACAAAGTAATTGCGTATCGCGATATTCGTGCGTTATTTACGGGAATCGGCGATGATTCACGGGATCCGCGCGATAACACAATCGCCGAAACGAAATTGCACAATCGGCGAATTTTCATAAGCACAGGAAATTAACACGGTCGCGGTAATACCGAGAGGAATGCTAATTGGCGGGAACTGAAATTATCCTTTCACGTAGCTGCAAGGTCGACGAATTTTATGGACATCGGCCGTACACGTATCTCTCGTTATTACCCGACCGATTCTGAATTTTAAGCTCGATTCGCTCTCTCGAGTCTCGCTCGCGCGAGAAACCGGGGAAAACCGCGGCGAGTGACTCTTACCCTCTTTTTTTTTCTTCTTCTTCCTCGCTCGATGTTTTTACTCGCGCGGAAACGAGAACACGGAAAAGGCGTATGCGCATTCTCGCCTAATAACGCCGGCGAGCGCGCGCCGTTTCTTGCGACGGCACCGCTAATGAAGCCTTTAATTTGCATCAGCGCCCAAAAGCGCCAGACGCAAATTCCCCGCCCAGCGGCCGCGCGCCATTCTCGCGAAAGCGCCGCGCAAATAATTCAGCGCGTTCGTTTTGCTCCGCCGCGGGACTTTTGCGTCGGCGACGTCACCGCAGCGGCAATTCGGCGATCGCGAGTGCAATAACGATGGAAAAAAATGCAACGTATATAGCAGCGCGGAATATTTAAAACCTCTCCTTGTGGCGTCTAATTCTCAAATACGATGCACCCTACATTTCTCCTCTCGCCCTTCATTCCGAAAGTTGCGTAGACCTCGGTCTATTTTCGAAAGCGAAATAAAGTGAACTGTCACGGTTACACGTTAAGCTGTCACGGTTACACGTTAGCATTAGCGCGCTTTGTTAAGAAGGACTAATTCTCTCGTTTTTTTCTTTTCGTAAGAATCAATTTCGTATCCGTAGGTTGTTGGTAGAGAAGCAGTGAGTCGATCCGATGTTGCAGAGTATATTTCACTGTTTAGACTGTTCAACTTGCAACTGTGTCCGAGTTAGTTTTTTCCTACTCTAGAGAAAAAGAAAGAAAGAGAGAGAACGTGAAAAAATCATGAACAGAGACTGGACGACGCGTAGCCCGCGTTTCGCGCGGGCCCGAATGCCAAAGTAGAGAACGAGTGCGAGAAAAATTGTAAAAAAAAAAGGATTATGCGCCTAATCAATTTTCGATTTTCCCCGAAGAGACGAGGAAGAGGAGGAGGAGTAGGAGTAGGAGAAGGACGAGAGGGATGGTTGCCGCCTCTTCGCGACTGAAGTCGTTCGCGCGACTTTTTCGCAATCGTGCGAGCGGTGGAGGTCAGTCTGATGTAGTCGCGCGTAAAAATGCGCCACAAGATAACTGTATGTATGTAAATGATGGAGTAATTAGTTTACGATTATCGAGCAAAAAGAGAGAGTGTATGTATGTGTGTTGTTTGTGAAAGAGAGAGAGAAAGAGCGAGTGCGTGTGCGCGTCTTAGTCCGCCATTCGTGTACATAGTTCCCACCAACCCTGATCGAAACTATTGCTATTTGCGAGATATAGATTTATTTTGATGTTATCTAGGTGTATACGGCGAAAGAGAGAGAACACGAGTGTGTGAAAGAGAGCAACGAGTGTGAACGTAGCGAGCGTGTTGTGCGCGCGATTATTAATATAATCGCGCCTCAGTGTAGCGAGGAGTCACCATCTCACCACCTAATTTACGTCTGTAATTGCTAAATATCCTGGAATTCGAATTCCTTATTCAATGTACTTAGACGCGCAGTCAATATAGTCATATATATTGAACTGTACACCGCATCATCTTATTTATCCTAGCTGAATACGAGATCGCTCGCACCCACTCCCATCGTTATGACTCGATCGTTAGATTCCTCTTTCTAATTGCCTGTATATTTTCACTTGTGTCGCCTTACCGCTGCGTAAACGGACAGGTACAACCTCAAGGCTTGTAAAATATTCCTACGCGAATATTGTTGCAAATATACTGATAACGAAAACTGCTGACATTTCTTCACTTATTGATCCCCGGGTAACGATCGAGTTATCGCGCGGAATGCAAGATCGTCAAATTTCCTCAAATGGCGCGAGCGATCCGGGGTTAAATAAGGTTCGGTAACTGATCCCTCGCGATTTCCGCTAGCCAAAAAAGCCGATCTGAGAATTTCAGCTCGAATACCAAAACGTCGCGCACCGAAATGAAACGTCAGGTATACTGCGAGATATTACTCTTGCTTTTTCCTTCGAAGATTCATGAAATAATCAGCAGTTGATATCACGAGGCTGGACACATGTGTGTTTCGAAGGACCATTGGACAGGTAGGTGCTTAATTAATTATTACTAGCAATCTCGAGTAAACATTTTATTTTATTATCATGAAATTATTTTCTACTCTCATATTATTATATTATCATATTATTATATTAATTATATTTTGTTTCTGTATTAACTCTGCAAATTCCGTCAAACTCGAATGGAGAACCTCAAGACTTTTCGTTATCGTAAAATGCACTAAGAGAAAAAATACTTAAAAAATAACAAATATTTATTTGGATATTAATAACATATTTATTTTAATTTATTTGAATAGAACGAACAATTGCTTTCATGAAGGGCTAAAGTTTTAATAAAATAAGTATTTTCTTATATGTGAAAAATATTTTATATTAATATAAATTGTTTTTATTTAAGTGAAATAAATAGCTCCCTCTCTCTTTTGTAAATATTTTTAGTTAAATAGAACCAATAATTGCTCTCATATATGAGAAATTAATGTTTTAAGAAAATTTATGTATTTTTATTTGAAAAATATTTTATATTATAGTATATATAAATGTTATTCTTTTTTAATGTCCATCGAATAAAATTTTTTATTTGTTAGATATTTTTTCTCGCACACATTGCTTTGCTGGGACTTAAAAAAGAATATATATATACATTTCGGAATTATATATATTTAATATTTTACCAACTCAATAGAATTATCTGCATTTTTTATCCTTATTAATTTTAACACACACATACGTTGATTACGTAAATTCGATGCAGGTAGAATGACCTTTCAAGTTTAACGGAATTTGCGTGTTTTAGGGTAAGCGAGAATTTCGGAACAGTAAATCTGCGAAATATCGAGAGAATTCCGATCATCATTTCCCCATTTGTTCCTTTTTCTTTCGCCGCCGGTTCGTGTCGCTTCGTGCGCTCGACCTTCGACGAGCTCCTTTCGCGGGAAAACGGCGACGGCGGTAACGAGACGACGGCTGGCCGGGGATCGTTAATGCAATTTTTTCTCGACCATTAAACTTTTTGCCGGGGCGTCTTGGCGCGAGTCCTAACGATCGCGTCAAGCGGCGCGCCGCGGCGCGCTACGAGAGAAACCGATTACTGATCGTTAAGAGTCGACCTGTTTGCGCCCGAGAAGTGACCGTTCGCACGCCTTTCCTACCTGTCCGCCTGCACGCGCCGCAGGCGCACGTATAACCGTAAACGTAAACGGCCGGTAAGGTCCGAACGAGCCGAACTCATTTCCGTGGTCGCACTTACCGGAAACCGGTTTTTATCGGCGCGGGCCCCGATATAATGGAGTATAAAATTAACGTCATACGAAGACGGCACGCTTCTTCTCTCGACCGTGGACGAAAATTCCGCAGTGCACGAGATGTCTAGGATCTACCTGGGGGAGGTCCTCTGCGCATCTACTCACTCCGCAATAATAAGCATCACGTTAAGCTTTCAGTCCCTGAGAAAAAAAAGCAGTTGGATCGACGAAATCGGCGGTAAACCACCTTCAAAGAAATATTGTATGTATTGAACAAATTCCGCGTTAATGCAACAATAAGACGTTGATATTGAAGTTACTGATTAAATCATTGTGAATTAATTGATATCACTCATCACAGCAACTATATAATTCATTCAATCGTCTAAACGTTTGCTTAAACGAATTTTGTTCGCTTAAAGTTCCTAGTCTCTCTCGCATTGTCTAATGCTCTCTTTAATGACGTTAGAAGCGAGAAAATGCATGCTAAAAATTCTTGCGAAGTACATTGAAATAAAAATATATATCCATAAAGTAGCACTTGTAATCGATTAAATAAATTTGTAAGATATTCCAGGCATTCCCCTTTTGCTCTAACAATCAATAGTTTATTGTAAATTAATCTAAATAGAAGAAGAAATAGGTTAAGAAAATGGATTGTATGTCACGTTAATTTACGACAAATTATTGATTGTTAGAGCAAAAGGGAAGTGTACGGAATATCTTACAAATTTGTTTAATCGATTGCAAGTGTTACTTTATGGATATGTATTTTTATTTCGATGTATTTCGCAAGAATTTTTAGCATGTATTTTCTCGCTTCTGACGTCATTAAAAAGAGATAGACAATGCAAGGGGCCAGGAGCAAAGTCCAATTAACAATGTTTTCTCTCAGTATGGCGAATTGTATTTGATGCAAAAGATTTGCCATGTTCGTCAGAACATAGAGAACGAAATTATTTAATTTCAAGAGATTAGTAATTTTTATGGATAAAATGAGCATCGTCTTTCTTTTACATATCTAATGAGGACTGTGTTTTAGTCTCCTTTTATAATCTTTTGAGTGATTATTCGAGTGATTCGCGCTCGCCAACCGTTCCCCATAATTTGTAGATCGCGCGCGTACGTTTATGGAAAATTTTCCCCATCGACGCGGGGAAAACGAGGATCGATCGAGAGCGCGTTGTGTAAGTGGGAAAAACGCGATTATCAGCCGACGTGCTTACAATCGGGGCGTTATCGCACAATTCTACGCCGCAACACGCGCACGAACTCGACGCGTAACGGCGACACAATCAATTTTTTGTCATTCGGTAAATAAAACCTGCGGCACGTGCACGTACACACACACACGCGCGCGCGCGCATACATACACGCACACACGCGCACGTAATGGGTCGGTCCTGCCGCGTAGATCAAGTTACGTGATCGCGCAACAATCACGGCAATTATGGATGAGAGATCAACCGATGCGATGCGACACCGTGTCGTGCCGTACTGCGCGCGATTATCCCCGCATATGCACGGCGGCGAGATAGAGACAGACTGGAAGAGAGCGCCTGCCAGGAGGGAGAATGAGAAAACCGCAATATCGACGCGCACTTGGCTACGATTGCTTCCGCGTCGAAAGAATTTCAAGTACGGAATCTTACCTGTTCTCGGTGATATTTTCTCACGAGAAGATCAACTAAGCGCATCACGACTGACTTCGATTCCGTTGAGAATTTTTCGCAACTGCTCTTTAAATTTCTTGGAATGAAATTTCACTGGAAAAGCGAAGTCACTGCAATTCAGGGTGGTTTTTGCTCCTACAGAGCGAATTCTCTACTCTGAATCGTCACTCTGAATATCTTCATTCAAAATTGAAGAATGAACCCAGTGTATTCCGTCGTCAGAGGAACATATTCGATCGATTGAAATATTCGCTCATACGGAGCCAGAATCCACACTAAGCGAAATATTCGCTCCGACGATTTCGAGTGGCATTATTTTCACTGCTGCTTCGAGTGAAAATATTGCCGCTTCGAGTGAGACTCTGCTCCAAGGAGCAGAGAGTATGGAGAAACGCGTGGATAACACATTCGTGCAGTTTGCACACTTGCATATTTTGCGCCTCGTGTCCTTTTGCGTGAGGACGCAAAAGGAAGGAGGATCGAACAAATGAGTAGGCGCAGAAGTGAATGGACGAGGCGAGTGAGTGAATTTTATTACACCTCGAGGCTAAAGTCTCCAGGTTGTAATTTTACAGATGCATAACGAGACGGGAGGCGCAAAGTAGCCGGAGAAGGAGGAAGAGAAGAAAGAAGGGAAAGGGAGAGAGATATATCGGTTTATTATTATCCGAGCGCAAAGGTAGAACGAGAAACGCAATTTATTAAGAGCGGCGGGGAAACGGCGACGGCAAAAAACGGGCAGCAGAAGCAGAAGCTGCGCACTCCCGCCGACGGAGGGTAGTCTTTAAATCAGGAGCTTTTAGATCATATCCGGCCGGCTCTGCTCCAGGTTGCGCAATGTTTTCTTTTCATCCCTGCCCGCGACTCGAGACTTTGTACGGCCGACTAATTGAGCCGTATCATTAGCATACGCCGTCGTCTCTTCGCTCGTTGGTCTGACCGGCTATTAAAGACTCATTATTGCGAGGCTTTATGCGAGCGCGCGTAATTCCAGTTCTCACCGACGCGTTTCGTTTTGCCTCATGACATCCACGATTAGCGACGGGCTCGAGGCACTTCGAAACGTACCTCTATATGTATATCGAGGATCTCGAATCGTCTCGAGCACCACTTAAAATCAGATTCTCGAGGGAGCCTCGCAAATGACCCGAAAGTCTGGACGGTCGCTCTTGAAAGCTTCGGGGATAGACTTATAGAATAGATTGCGCGCTCTTGTGATGACGAGATCGAAGGACAGAGATATGCCGAGTCAGACGCTTTCTCTGTCACACAGTACTGTAGGGCTCGTATTAATAGTTGTTACTCTGAAACTTGTCTCATGTGAGATATATTTTTATTCAGAGTTAGATTCAGAAGTTAGAGTTAGAAGTTTTTCAATCGAACTGTGATATATTCTGACATTTATGTGTTTTATTTATGTACTTATATTTACCTATTCCGCGTGAGTGACATTTATATCTAAAAAACTAACTTTCATTTAATTCTGAATTCAAATCGAAGTATCTTGACTTTAATTTCAAGTAATAATTATTAACACGAGCCTTGGAGAAGGCGATATAAGAGAAACAGAAGAAAAAATCA